CTTCTGGACAGGTGTCCTCCTCTGGTGGACGAGCCAGGACAGGTGTCAGAGGCGTGGTGGATTGCATCATTTCCCTTTCAGAAACAGCGTTTCTCCTGTCACTTAGCTTGACAGGTGGCAGGTGCTCATCCCTTCGGGGAGTTTGTTGTCGGGGCGGGGGAGGAGGTGGAGACACCTCCGTGTTGCACTTTAGCTTACTGCTATGCTAGTGACGTCAGCTGTAGACCGGGCGGGGGGGGGGGGGGGGTGTTAGTATGTATGTGAGAAACGGAGCGAGAAGCATCTTAGCTACCACTTCTGTGTTGTGCGCGACAAGATTTTGCTTTAAGATTTGAAAAGTCCATCTGATGGAGTTATTCAAGGAGTCAAGATATTTTTATTGTCATTCACATCACGTGTGGTACATGAGGTGGAATGAAACTACAGGTATGTGCACATGGTCCCAGCGGTCACTCTTTCAGGGATGAAGATGTTCACATCCTGGACAGAGAGGAACGATGGTTTGAGAGAGGAGTAAAGGAGGCCATCTTTGTGAAAAGAAACCGTCCATCATTAAACAGGGGTGGAGCCTCCAGGTTCAACTGTCCCCCTCTTACAATGCTGTGATTGCTAGTATCACTCAGCCCTCTGTGAACAGTAAACAGCCATCAGTGTGCTAATGATCCATTGTTAGGCTGATGGTCCTTCTTGAGCATGTGATCAGCTGGTTCTGGTTGTCAGCAGCAAAACTGGTTGATCCACTCTGAGAAGGTGCTATTTAAGAGACTGAGCTGAAAACAGCACCTCAGACTGAGGAAGTCCTCAGGATGAGAGACGAAACGTTTCTACATTTTTTTGTTGTTTTCTTTGGGTTTTTTTTGAATGTCCAGAGGACAAGATTTAACTTTTTTAGATCCCAGTTACATCCAACAAAAATACAAATTGTAAAGAAAACAGTAATAAAATCCAAGACATGAACTAAGAAAGACACTAAGCACTAATAGTACAAAACAATGAGCCAAACAGCAGCACGAACATGAGTCTGTGTGAGCAGATGAGGTCGAATGAACACCGCAACATGAAATAAATCAGCAGCATGAGATCAGCAGCATGGATAATCATCAGCACATATCAATAATCAAGTATCATCACAGTGATTATTCTGGTTAGAGATTCATGAGTCTAACAGCCTCAGGGTAGAAGCTGTTCCTCAGTCTAGTGGTTCTACACTTAATGCTCTTCAACCTCCTTCCTGAGGGGAGTGGGACAAAAAGTCTGTGTGCTGGGTGAGTGGGGTCCTTCATGATGCAGGTGGCCCTCTTCCTGCATCTGGAGGTGTAGATGTCTGTGATGGTGGGGAGACTGACTCCAACATCTTCTGTGCAGCCTTCACCACTCTCTGCAAAGCTTTTCTTTCTGCAGCTGTGCAGCCTCCATGCCACACGTTGATGCTGGAGCACAGGATGCTCTCCACTGCACACCTGTAGAAGGAGGTGAGGACTGAGCTTCCAGACCAGCTCGCCTCAGCCGCCTGAGGAAGTAGAGTCTCTGATGAACTTTCTTCATCAGGTCTGGTGGTGTTGCTGCTCCAGCTGAGGTTGTTGTTCAGGTGCACACCCAAGTACTTGTAGCTGGAGACCACTTCCACCACAGATCCTCCTATGGTCGGGGGTGGGGGGGGGGGGGGGTTATATAGAGAATATAAAGAACACCTTGAAGGAGAAATGTGGTGTGAAGGAGAGAGAAGCTTCCTGAAAGTAAAATAGTTAAAATCAGTGAAGGAACAGTGGAACGGAGAACACGTGAGAAGGAGATGGATGATGTTACTTCAGGTGGATTGAGAAGGAAAGGAGAATAAAAGTTATGAAGTGTAGAAACGTTGACACCAAGAAGGAACCTGTAAATTATTTAATTTTAATCAGTACATGCAGGTTGACTAAACAGTAAAACGTGTTTTTTTGTCTCTTGCGTGGCCCAGTGTAGTTTGTGTTGTGAAGGCTGCATGAGGTCACGTCACGTCTAAATGTTCTGCTGGTGGTTATTAAATGTTCACTGGGTAAAGTTAATATTCTTATTTTTAAACATGCAGTTCAGTGTCACCATCGTTTAGCACAATGGCAAGTTGTGTTACAAATAAAACTAAATAAGACGTTAACAAAGTAAAAGTCAAGTGTTCCCTAAAGTCAGTTTGTGATAAATTGTGTCACATTAATTTAATTATTTTAGTCATAGGAGTGAGTTTAATACAGGACGATGCAGATATGTGTAACCGTCTCTGTGTGTCTGCAGACCTCCTCTTCGTCCGACTCGACCTGCAGCTCCTCCCAAACTCGAGGCTCCTCCTCCACTTTGACCTTAAACCCGGTCACATGACCTGTTTTAAAAATGGCCGCCTGAGGTGACGAAGATGAAGACGACTTCCTTTGACCCTTTTTGCACTCAATCGTCAGATTCGATCCTCCACGAAGTCAGACAGGATTTGAACCGTTTCTCAGTGCCTTGCTCAGCAGAGGGGATGGAAACATCTGGGACTCAAAACCTGCACCCCCTGCTGGCACCATCAGTGCCTTGCTCAAGGACACATCCAACAGGAATCAAACAAGTGATCACACACTGTTCTTTCAGAAATATTGTTCTGTTTCAATCTGTGGATGGATGGATGGATGGATGGATGGATGGATGGATGGATGGATGGATGGATGGATGGATGGACAAAATCGTCTCTATGTCCTACAGAACTGTCTTCAATTTGGACATTTTTTGTCTTTTTGGACATTTTTTGTCTTTTTGGACATTTTTTGTCTTTTTGGACATTTTTTCAGCTGAATCTGAATTTTCTTTCTGACAGAAACTTTAAAAACAAACTAAAGTTTTTATTTAGTTTATTTTGACTCTATAAAGTTTTATTTTAGTTTTCAGTTTCTCGTGACGCACTGAGCTCAGGTCCTGACAGTAAAAGACGTGATTTTATCAAATTGATTCCAGAGATTCTCCGATGAATCGATCATATTCTAATAACGGACCTTTATTTTGTAGGGACTGTGTTTGTGTCTTATTGTGGAGAAACGTTTCTCTGTCAGATTTGTTTTCTTCTGCATGTTCAGTTTTTGTCACAACCTTTATAAATTTACCGTTTTGTTTTCCAACCATCTGTTCTTTCTGCAGCATTTGTTTCTGACCCATAAAATAAACGTTTTATTGTTTTAATGTTTCTCCGTCAGTTTTTATTGTGGATCGTGAAGAGATCTAAGATGTTTGAAGGCAGCAGGAGTCGAGCGATGATCTGCGAGCGTCGCGTTGAGGCGTTTGCTCTCACTTCCTGTCAGTTTGTAGGTCAGAGGGTTAAACGCGGAACCAGAACCTCCTCCGGTTCTGATTGGTCCTGAAGCTGTCAGGAGGACTCTGAAGTGTTTCCTGGTTCCAGCAGGGTGCCCCCTCCTCTTCCTCGCACTGTGGTGAAGAGGAAGCTGTGATTCAGTCTGCAGACCACGCTGGTTCTGGTTCCTGCTGCTGTCAGCGATCCACCTGCTGCTCCATGGCTCCACTGGTCCTCCTCCTCCTCCTCAGCCTCCTCTTGAGCTGCACAGACTCCCTGCCTCCTCCTCGGCTCTCCTTCCTCCTCAGTAAGTCCAGCATTCATTGGTCTAATCCGAGTCTGGGTCTCTTCTGGTTCTGGAGATGGACTTGATTTCTTTTATAAAAGCGCGTCACTTCCTGCAGACACTGAGCTCCGGTCTCTGATGGTTCTGGGTCGTCCGGGACCGAGCAGGTCCAGAACAACTAAACAACCGAACCGTTCTCCTGTAAAGTTTAGGGCGTTTTCTAAAGTCAGCATTTATTTCCTGGGACTCGCTCCGGTGGTTCAGACATGACGGTTCTGACTCGGTGGTTCAGACATGACG